GCTACCGACAGATAGCTACGGCTACCCACAGATAGCTACGGCTAGCCACAGGTAGCAACGGCTAGCCGCAGCTAGCTACAGCTGCACAGACTACTAGGATGAAATAATTAACACGGATTAGAACCCCAGCAGCTGTGGGGTCTACGCACTAAATGTCAACAAGCAAACAACAAACAACACAAACAACAAACAAGGGGCCCCAAATGGCCCCCTAAAGGCCCCTTATAGGGCCTCCGTTCATGGGCAAACTCGTTGGTTAGGGGTTCCAGGGGGCCCCCTACGGTACCCTGGGGGCCCCCTGAGGATCCCTTGGGGGCCCCTTAAGGATCCCCTGGGGCCCTCTTAAAGGTCCGGATCACCTGGGGGCCCCCTGAGGGGCCCCTGGGGGCCCCCTGAGGATCCCCGGGGGGCCCCCTGAGGGGCCCCTGGGGACCCCCTGAAGGGCCCTTGGGAAACGCCTGAGGGACAGGTGGGGGTTACCTGAGGATCCCCCGGTGCAACTCCCCCCATGCAGATGCGTCTCCTCCTTCTGGGCCCCCCCTTTGGGCCCCCTGCTTGGGGCCCCCTAAGGCCCCCATATAGAGACCCTTAGGGACCCCATATAGACACCCTTAGGGCCCCCATATAGAGACCCTTAGGGCCCCCATATAGACACCCTTGGGGCCCCCACCGCATGGGGCCCCTTAGGGCTCCCACATAGAAACACTTAGAGCCCCCTCTTAGGGCCCCTTTGGGTCATCTTGGGGCCCCTTAGGGCCCCCACATAGATACCCATAGGGCCCCCCCTTAGGTCCCCCTTGGGTCCCCTTGGGGCCCCCTAGGGCCCCCACATAGAGACCCTTAGGGCCCTCCGCATGGGGGCCCCTAGGGCTTCCCCCTGGGTCCCCTTTGGGCCCCGTTGGGGACCCCTTGTCTACCAGAAGGGGCACCAGCCTGTGTACATTCTCGAGAGGTTGCGGATGCTGGTGGCTTCTTCAATAAGTCGACCCGCCTGGGCCGCAACCGCTAGAGGGGTGGGGCTGCAGAGACAAACAAATGCAGAAAACCGGACAAGAAGAAGTGCATGCATGCATGCATGCATTCAAAACCCTACACACTAAACCCTAAACCCTGCATGCATGCAAGCATGCAGCTATCGTGCAATGTAATGCCGGCAGATAAGGCTTCTCCAGCAGACGCAGCCCCACAACGCATGCATCCATACATGCATGCACACATGCAAACCGAGCTACATGCACGCCTGCATGCGTGCATGCATGCATGCATGCATGCATGCAGAGACCCACCCAAAATCGACTCCGTTGAGTTTGTCTAAAACCCTTTCAAGGACTTCTTCTCTCGTCCTCGGCCAGCGCACTGCAATGCCTTCACCGTAGTTAGTAGCAGTACCCTGGGGGCCCCATGGGGGACCCCCAGAGGGCCCCCCTGGGGGCCCACTCCTAGGCTTACCCGCTGGGGGGGCCCCCATTGGGGGCCCCTCGATAAGTTGCGGGGCTTCGGGTAGCGACTGTCTAAGGACTTTAAGAGGGAGAGAAGGGTCAAGGATGCATGCAGAAAGAAGTAGAGACAGATAAAATTTATTTTGTCTTAGCGTTGTCAGGCAGAAGCAAAGAGACGACAAAAATATGCCCCCAGAAGCACCAACGTCTAAAGCTCGTGAAAGCATGCGCGTTTGCCTGCATGCACATACACCCCAAAAACATATATATATATATATATATGTAGCCGGTACTGCATGCATGCAGTGCATGCATGCAGTATGTGGCAGCAGCAGCAACAACAACAACGATAGCGATAACGTCAGCAGCAGCAGCAGCAGCAGCACCAGCAAAATAACCAGCAGCAACAATAGCAGCAAAAACAGCAGCAGTATCAGCAGCGGCAGAAACATCAGCAGCGGCAGCATCAGCAGCGGCAACGCTTGCAGCAGCAGCAGCAGCAGCACCTGAAGGGGACAGTCTCCGGCTGTGTGGTTCTGCATGCAGCAGCCTCAAAGACATCACTGAAGTCTATATGGGCGATGCAGCAGCCCCTGCAGTCGCTGCTGCTGCAGCAGCAGCACAGCAGCAGATTGCCTGGGTGTCTGTCTCCTATCCCGCAGAGATAGCCGCAGGCTGCCATTGCTGCATGCCCCGATGCAATGCTGCG